AAGACAAATCAAACAAAAATGAACACGCAGATACAGAGAACAGAATAGGGGTTACCAGAGGGGAAGGGGTAGTGGAGGGTAAAATGGATAAATGGGATCGGCTGTATGGTGATGGAGGGAAAGTAAATTTTTGGTGGTGAGCACTCTGCAGGGTAGACAGAAGTAAAAATAAAACATTTTACAAATGAAACTTGCTGTAAGTCTTGTCACCTCAATTAAAAGATCCAAAACAATGTTGAGTCAAAAAAAAAAAAAGAAACTGTAAGGAATTGTTAAGCACACTCTCCTCTGACATGTTTAAATCTTTAAAATTCAAGGTCCATTTCATCACTCCATTTTTCAACTACCAAAGTGATTCAAGTATGGCTATGAGGCTACAAATGAATATAATTGTGATATCAAGAAATGGATTGGGGGACTTCTCTAGCAGCCCAGTGGTTAAGAATCTGACCTCCAATGTAGGAGGCCTACGTTTGATCCCTGGTCAAGGAACTAAAATCCCACACTCCAGGGGCAACTAAGCCCGAGCATCGCCACTAGAGAGGAGCCTATGTGCTGCAATGGAGATTCTGTGTGCTACAGCAGCGACCTGATGCAGCCAAAAAGAAAATGAAACAAGTAAATGAAAGGAATGGATTGGTCGCTTGGAGATTTCTGCTACTGAAGTCAGGGAAGAAACTAAGGGGTGATTTTCCCTGAGAGTGGCTAGGCTTTTGTGTTCCAGAATCTGGGCTCTCCCAGGGATGCAGTTTACAGACTGATGTTTACTTGTCTGATTGATGGCTAGGTACCAGGAAGGTGGACCCACATAGGACTCTTCTGGGCAAGGACCTCAGCTAATTAAGAGAATCTGCTGAGACTGCCCATGAGGCTGTGCAAAATTGTGTATTAAGGGGAAAGGAGGTAGAATTGCCAGAAGGGGTCAGAGAGGCTTGCTGAAACCAGAGGCTGGAGCCTGGGTCTGGACAACAACTATCCAGAAATAACCAAGAAGTCAGAGGTGGCAGGCCTCCCCTCCAGTTTTCCTGAAAAAAAACCCATGGGAAGGGAAGAGAGCCATTGCTTCTGGAGGGGTACCGGGGTGATGGGAGGGAGTCGTATGGGATTTTTGTTGATCTTGGCAAACGGAAGCTTGGGGCCTGATATGAAGGTTTACAAAATTAGAAAATGTGGTATTTTTTATATTCTGAAGATTGAGAAGCAATTCCTTCCTATCACAGACAGCGTTTGTCTTTCTGCTCTTCAGAAAGGCTCTTCGGTGCACGGACTTGTTTTCTTTTGGTCCCTGTGTCACAGTTTGCCACCTTGGTTTCCCTGGGCTGTCCACCGCTACATGCCCGTACACCGATCCCGACAGATTTCCCTCGCCTTGGCTCCTAAGTCAGCATCTCCCAAAGTCAAGGATGCTATTCCTTGGTGAGCAGTGGAATGACCACCCCCAGTCTGGGGACCAGTCATGCCTGGTTCTTAAGTGGCTCCCACATCTTTGTGCTATCCTTCAAGAATCCGAGTGTGTCCATGCGACCCAACAACTCTGCTCCTAGGCGCACATCCGAGGGAACTGAAGACATAGATTCACCCAAAGGCTTGTACATGAATGTTCGCAGCAGCATTATTCCTAACAGCCAAAAGGTAGAAACAGCTCAAATATCCGTGTGCTGGCTTATGAATAAACAAAATGTGGAATATCTAGTTAATGGAATAATATGTAGCCAAAAGAATGAATAAAGTACTGATACGCCTTACAACATGGATGAACCTTGAAAAAATTATGCTGAGTGAAAGTTACCAGACACAGAAGGACATACTGTATGATTCCATTTATGTGAAAGATTCAGAATAGGCATATCCATAGGAAAAGAAAGATGAGAGGTTAGCAGGGACTAAGGAGAGGAGGAACTGGGAGTAACTCCGACAGGCCCTGGGTTTCTTTCTGGGATGATGGAAGTGTTCTGGAATTCACTATTGGTGATGGTTATACAGTGTCATGGCTTCCCAGGTGGCGCTAGTGGTAAAGAACATGCCTGCCACTTCAGGAGATATAACAGATGGGGGTTCGATCCCTGGGTCTGGAAGATCCCCTGGAGGAAGGCATGGCAACCCACTCCACCCCAGCCGATTCTTGCCTGGAGAATCCCACGGACAGAGGAGCCTGGTGGGCTACAATCAACAGGGTCACACAGAGGCAGACACATCTGGATAAATAAATAAAGTGTTGAATTTACTGTTATAGGAATTACAGTTTACTTTAAAAATTTAAGATTCTTGGGACTTTCCTGGTGGTCCAGTGGCTAAAACTCTGAGCTCCCAATGCAGGGGCCCCAGGTTCAATCCTTGGTCAGGGAACTATTAACAGATCCCACATGTCACAATAAAGATAGAAGATCCTACATACTGCAACTAAGACCTGGTGCAGCCAAATATTTTTTTTTAATTAAGATTTTAAAGCAAGAACAAGGCAGAGGAGGAGGAGGAGGGTGGGGAATAATCCATTAGCCTTGACCCACGGCCTCCTCTTCTGGGTGACCTTGTGTGATCTGGTACCCTTCTGTCCTGAGGGTCCACTGTCTACCCCTCCAGAGGGAAGGCTATGGCTGAAGACCCTGCTACCAGGAATCACCTTTCCCAGCACCACAGCTTTGTCCTCAGCCCAAGCTGTGCTCTGAGTGGCGGCTGACGACTGAGTTCCCCAGCCCTGTAAGGGCCTCTGATTTGAAGGCCCTGGGACAAACTCTTACATGAGTCACCCTCGAGGTGTAGATAACTCAGGGACCCAGCTGTTCACTCTCTTTGGCCTGAAAAACAGGTCTTGGACTTTGTTCTCAGACGTAAAGATACCATGGGGGTTTCCCTACTGATTCAGTGGGTAAGAAGCCACCTGCCAATGCAGGGGATGCCGGTTCAATCACATGTCCCTTGGGAGCCACAACTACTGAGCCCGAGATCTGGAGCCCGGGGGCAGAAACTACGAAGCCCCCACAAGGAGAAGCCTGCACACTGGAACTAAAGAGATGCCCCCGCTCGCCATCCCTACAGAAAGTCCATTCAGCAACGAAGACTCGGTGCAGCCAAAAATTAAATAAATAAGTAAAACAAATTTTAAAAATAAAAAGACACCCTCTTGTTTAGGTGGAAATATGTCATTCTGGAAACATATGCTGAAGTCCTAACTCCCAGTGACTCAGCATGTCACCACTTTGAAAATAGGATCTCTAAGAGGTCATCAAGAGAAAACGAGGTTCTTAGGATTAGGGTATTTCCTAATCCATTACGACTGGTGTCAGTAGAAGAAGGAGAAATTCGGGCAGAGATGGGCACAGAGGGAAGGCAAGGTGAAGGCACAAATGGAGTAATGCAGTGATGCGTTGACAAACTCAGGAACTCCAGAAGCTAGAAGAGGTGGGTAGGACTGTCTCCCCAGCATCTTCCCAGAGAGCTAGGCCCCGGGGACACCTGGATCTGGGACTCCTGGCCTCCAGAACATCAGAGAATCACTTTCTGCTGTAATCAAGCACCTAGTTCTTGAAACTTTGTTAAGGCAGCCCTAGCCAACTAACACAGATCCAAAAGCACAGGGTTGCCTGGGTGTGGATGGCGGAGCCTCACACGTTTTAAAAAAGAAACCATCAGCATTGCTCACTAAAAGTAACAAAGTACTGACACACAGCAACTTGAATGGATCTCAGGGGAGAAGAGCGGACCCCTAGTGGTTATGAACTGTATGATTCCACTTACACACCATCCTTCGAATGACAAGGTCACAGAGATGGAGAAAATCTCGACAGTGGCCAGGGCTCAGGGAGAGGGTGCTGGTGACAAGTGCTCCCCGTCTTGACAGTGGGGGGCACAGACATCTTCACACAGGACAAGACTGCCTAGAACTGAGTACACACCCTCCCCTGCGGCATGGAAAACGGGCCAAACCTGAGTAAGGACTGGCGGTTGGCATTAGTGACATTTTACTGTGCCGAGTTATTCAGGATGTTAGTGCTTGGAGAATGGAGGGAGGCCCAGGCCAGAGACCCCGCCTCGGCCTCATTTCACTTCCCAAACGGGATTTTCCATCGTGCATCGGGAACTTTCTCATAGCACCTGCTTCTCAGTACTGTCCAGCTTAACCAAGAAAGCAAGCTGCCTGCCCAGCCGCAGGATGGAGGGCTAGGCGAATTCCTCTAACGCAGGAATAAGGCACAGAGGGGAACCACGGTCGGTCCTCTCTCCTGAGCCCCCTTTAAATAGCTGAAATGTTCTTGGGAAGAAAGATGCAGCAAGAGTAGGAAGCGCCAGTGGCAGTGCTGGGAGTGGGGGAACGGTCGGTCAGGCGCCCGGGCTGCGCGCCAGGTCTGGGCCTGAGGGCACAGGGCAGGTGACCAAGTCAGCCGCGCCGGGCGACACCCCAGCTGCCACCCAGCGTCACAGGCCCGGGCCGGCGGGGCGCGGGGCCACTCGTTCGCCGGCAGCCCGCGGTCCAGGCCGTCTAAGTCAGAGCGACAGACGCAGACAAGCCAGGGATGTGACCGAGTGGAGCTGAAGCCAGGTGTGAGGCCCACTGGCCGTGTTTACGGGAATGAGGCGGCTTCTCCCACTCCCTCTGCGCGGGGACATGGGACGGAATGAACCGCTGGGGTCTCCAGGGGCTGGAGGGCACAGCCGGCGAGGACTCCGGGCCTCCGCGGGGCACAGTCCGGGTCCCCGTTCCGGCGCGGCCGGCGGCGCTGCGGGGATCGGGCGGCGGCGCGGGGGTCACGGCGCCGCCGGGGTTTTTTCCAGGGGAGGGGGCGGGGATGCTGAGTCACGGAACTGTCACCGCTTCTCACCTCTCTCCAGCCCTCGGGGGCTAAAGCAAAAGCGAAAGCGAATGCCGCTTGCTGGGCGGCCGGTCCCGGAGCTGCGCCCGCCGCCTCCCCCAGGCCGTGGGCATCTTAGCGCGCCGGCGGCGGGGCGTCCCGGCCGGGGCGAGCGCGGGAGGCGGCCGGCGGGGGCGCGGCCGAAGTCCGGCCATGTCCGGGCGGCTTCGGGGCCGCGGGGCCGGCGCCCTCCCCACGCTGGGGCTGCTGCTGCTGCTGCTGCTGCTCGGATCGTCGGCCACGCCGGGTAGGGCGCGCGCGGCTGGCGGGCGGGCAGGGAGGCGGGCGGCCGGGCGCCGGGCGGCCCCCAGCACGAGGGTGCGCCCCGCGCGCCGGGGACACGTGGAGGAACGCGGGGACCACGGGCCACGGGCCCCGATCGCCTGGCCACTCAAGGCGGGCAGCAAGTCGCCGGGCTTTTCATTCTACGTTTTCCCCAATTTCCGAGGCAAAGGGAAAAAGCCGGGGTGTGCCGCACGGGCTCCAGTTGGGAGCTTTACAGCGATTTCGAGAAAGGCGTGAACCCCGCGAGGAAAGCAGGCAGAGAGTTCAACAGCCGGCAGTCCCCGCGGGGTCCCTCCCCTCGACCAAAGCAGGTTATACGGGTGAGCGGCGGCACGACGGGTACGGGCCGAGTGCGTCCCAGAGGAGAGAAAACGTGTCGGGCAGGTTCCACACCTGGGGGGCCTGGCAACCGCTGGGAAGTCTCAGCGCCAGGAAACCCTGAGGGCGCGCGGGGGTGGGGGCCGCAGCCCAGACCCTGCGCTCCCAGGCAAACCGGGAAAAATGAAGTCGAAGGATGGCTGGGTGTGAGCGTGTTCAGGAGGAATTTTAGATACACAGCTGTCAACTCACTCGGCAGACTCAAATGAGTGTCCTGCCAGTGGTGGGTTTTCGTCCCAGGAGCTGGACAAGAGGGAGGAGAAAGCAGGGATGTGTCCGCGTTTATCCGCGTTTATCTGCATTGGCGCGCCTTAACCATTTTCCAGTCACAGAGCTGCGAGGGTCTGATGAAAGCTACAAACCCTCTCCTCTGAAAAACACACGAATGCACAAACTTAACAAAACCTGCATATAGTTTTGGGGGCCATCCATGGACTCTCCAGAGGATAGTAATGCTGTGATCTGTCTGTGCACTTGTGTGTTTAAGGCAACACTCTTCATAACTTACATCCAGTCGGGTCAGTCTGCCTGTCCTCCATTCGAGGATCCATCCACAGTGGTGGCCGGCTGGCCTGCTGAGAATCCCCTGGCTCTTCTGGCTTTCCTGACATTTTCATTTCCTGAGACTATGTTTGGATTTCCCCCCATATCTGAGAATCCGAGTTATGTGAGTGATGTGGTCAGTTCCTCCCACCTGCCTAGCCAGTGTCCCGCATGACCCCGGGGAGAGGCCTGGGGGTCAAGTCTGCTGGACGATGTGAAAGTGAAATGCAGCCTTAAGTCAGAACCCAGCTAAACCGAGAGCCATGTACCTCCCAGGGCAGAGCAGGCTGCAGGCAATTCTCTGAAGCTCCTTAGCTCCAGCAGCTCTTTGACCTCACAGAGGCACGGCTTCCATCTCTTAGCTCCTGATGGTTCTTAGTTTTTCCTAAACAGCTGTCGTGGGGGTAGGTTGACAGATGATAATAAACAGTGCACATATAAATTGCACAATTTGATAAGTTTAGAGGTAAATGTGAAGTCACAAAACCTTCACCACCATCAGGACAGTAAATATAATCGTCACTCTCAGAAGCTTCCTCATGTCCTGTATTCCTTTCACTCATAATAATTATCCTGAGAATTCTCCAGCCTTGTAACTTGTATCAAGCAGTCCATTCTTCTTTATTACTAACTGTTCTAATGCACGGATATTGTAGTTTTTAATCCATCCTCTTTGTTGCTGGATGTTTTGGGGGTTGTTTCTGGTTTTGACTATTAAATATAAAACAGTTATGAACATTTACATATAGGTTTTTGTGCGGACAGACGTTTTCATTTCACTTGAGTTGGGGAAAATGTCTAGGAGTGAATGGCTATATCACATGACATGCGTATGCTTACTGTTTAAAGTAACAGCCAATCTGTTTTCTAAAGTAATTGTACTTGTTTACATTCCCGCCAGCAGTGGGTAAGAATTCTACTTCCTCTCCATCCTTGTTGGCCAGTCTTTTTTTTGTTAACTTTTAGACTATTTTCCAGTTTTATTGAGGTATATGTAATTGATATATAATATTGTGCAAGTTTAAATGGTACAAAGGGCTTCCCAGTTGGCACAGTGATAACCCACCTGCCGATGCAGGAGATGCGGGAGGCACAGGTTTGATCCCTGGGTCAGAAAGATCCCCTGGAGGAGGGCATGGCTACCCACTCCAGCATTCTTGCCTGGAGAATCCCATGGACAGAGGAGCCTGGGGGTACAGTGCGTGAGGTCACAGAGTTGGAACAACTGAGCAACTGACCACACATTCAAGGTGTACAAAGTGATGATTTGATATGTGTGTATATTGTGAAATGATTACCATGATAAGATTAACACATTCATCATCAGCTCACATAGTTACCAAAATAAAACAATTGTGCGTGTGTGATCAGTCTTTCTCTTTAATCATTCCCATTCTAGTAGATGTGTAGTTGTCTTTCATAGTTTTAATTTGCTCTTTCCTAATAATTAATGATATTGAGCAGCTCTTCCTGTGCTTCTTTGCCATCAATCTGTCTTCTTTTGGCAAAGTGTCTAGTTAAGCATTCTGCCTTTGAAAAAAATTGAGTTATTGAATTATTATTGAGTTTTGAGACTTCTTTATATTTTCTGGGTATAAGTCCTTTATCTGATATATGATTTGCAAAAACAACTTTCAGAGTCTGTGACTTCTTTCTTCATTTTTATAACAGTGTTTGATGAAGAGAAGACATTTTTAATTTTGATGAAGTTCAGCTTATTAATTTGTTCTTTTGTATTGTGCTTTTAGTGTCATATCTAAGAAATATTTGCTTAAGTCAAGGTTACAAAGGTTTTCTTCTATGTTTACTTCTAGAAGTTTTATAGTTTAGGTTTTATTGATGTCTGTGATTCATTTTGAATTAATTTTTCATATAATGTGAAATATGGATTGAAAATTCTGTATTTGTTTGGTTTCCCATGCAAATATGGCTATCCAATTTTTCCAGCACCATTTGTTGAAAAGATGATCTCTGCTGAATTGCTCTTACACCTGTCTTGAGCATCAGCTGTTTGTATATATTGGTTGCTATAGACAAAACATCACTACATGAAAATCAATTATATTTCTATACATTACCAATGAGTAATTGGAAACTGAATCTTTTAAATAAGCAATATCATTTGCAATAGCATCAGAAAGTTGGGGATAACTCTGACAAAAAAAAAAATGAGAAAGACTGTACACTAAAAACCACAAAGCACTGCTGAGAGAAATTAAAGAAGATCTAAACAAATGGAGGTGTATCATGTTCATGGATTGGACAAATCAATACTGCTAAGGTATCAGTTCTCCCCAAATAAAAATTCCCCCAGGCTTTCTTATAGAAATTGACATACTGGTTGCAAAATCGAGACAGGAAATTCAAAAGACTAGTACAATCAAACTGCTTTGAAAGACAGCTGAGCTGGAGGATCAGCACTTCTGATTTTAAGACTTTTAAAGTTGCAGTAATCAGGACAGTGTACATGCTAAGTGCTTCACTTGTGTTCTACTCTTTTCGACCCCTTGGACTGTAGCATGTCAGGCTCCTCTGTCTGTGGGGTTTTCCAGGCAAGAATATTGGAGTGGACTGCCATGCCCTCCTCCAGGGATCAAACCCAGGTTTGCATTGGCAGGCGGGTTCTTCACCTCTAACGCCACCTGGGTAGCCTCCAGAAGTGTTCTCCTGGTGTAAAAATGGACGAATAGCTAAGAGAACAGAGGGTCCCTGGTGTTTTTAGGTGAACTGAGAAGGGAAGTGGACACAGATGATTAGATATGCTACTTGGCAGTGTGATCCTGGTCGGGAATTATACTGAGCAGCTCCTTCCTTACGACTAGGTGGGTAAATGATAGTTTCCAAATCTGTTCCCGCTAGTTTTCAGTGCTAATAGACAAAGCGCGTTGCTGTCATCTGTCCTGGTTCAGGAGGCCTGATCTGGAGGGGGAACGCATCATCTTGGCCAGGCAGCTTCTTAAAGACACTCGTAACCTGTGAGGCTTCAGGTGATTTGCCCAAAGCAGCTGGAGACGACAATGATTTGTTTGAAGATGAATATCCCTGCTCACCAGCCTGCGTTTTGTTACGAAGGGTGCTGGTGTGCTTAAGGGTCTTTGTACAACTTATGTCTTTAAACACTTTTTAAATAATTAAGCCATTTTTCAGACATCTGGGGAGTTTTGCTAAAAACTTTTATCATATCATTTTTATCTCATTTTTGCTTTGTGCGGCTACTGATAGCAAAAAGTGATACAAACTTAAATGTACAAAATATGGGATTTGTTGAAATCAACCTGAATTTCCAACAGTGGAGGACTGCATAAATATAATGGGGTTGCTTTCAAATAGTATGCATTGAATGATTCAGCCTTTACTAAAGATCTAGAGTCGAGAGATGATAGGTCGTGTGTGTGTGTGTCTGTGTCTGTGTAGTTGTCTGCCTTTTCTTGTCTTTCTGATGTAATTTGCATTGCTTTTGTAATGAAAGGAAAAAAGTAAAACTACAAAAGAAGTAACACAAAAAGGAGCTAGAATTTTTGAGTTTTTTCTAACTCATCTTTAATTACAACCAATCTTGTTTGGCAATGTTTTTGTGGCTTTCTAAATTTTGCAGATTGCTCAAAATTGGGCTCTATAAAGTCACTGCATATAACTGTGCATTATATACATATATTTTATAATCCTCTATGACTTATTTAAATAGTTCCTTATTGCTAGAGTTGTTGGTAGGCTTCTGTTACCTGCCAAAGGATGGATATTCAGGTTGTTTCAAAATCTCTGATATTCTAAACATCATAGAGTAAAAAAAGTTGGATGAAAATTAGCTATATAGAACAAATAAGGCAAGGGGAAAGCCCTCAAAGTCTTTTTAAATGGCAGAAACATTTGAGGATATTCTTTTTCAATAAAATCATCACTCCAGCTAACTTGTATTGGGCTAGATCACTTCTACCAAACTGATTTTACCAAATAGCACATAGCTAAGTAAATACATGTATAAAGTCCCCTAGTACATACTCTTGAAGTCATATCCATGTTACTTATTAAACATGATCGATA